TTTATATATATATATATATAGATAGATTATTCCTCTTTTATTTCTTCTTATTGTGCTGTTTTTTAAGTAAATTTTAAAGTTTGCAGTATTCTGTACTTAATGTAATTATCAAGGAGGGATTATTTTTCTAACCCAGGTAATCGTTTGTTTTGTGATGATCAATAATAAAACGTTACTACGCATAATTATATATTTCATTAACAAAACGTTCTTCGTTTTCGAGAAAAAATATCGACTGATGTTGTAAAAAATATCGATAAATTTTTTTTTTTTACAAAATATCATTTGTAAAAAATAATTATGAATACAAAGCTATTATTGGGGATTTGTGAGTGTAGGGCGATAAATAGGTGGCGGAATCTCCTAATTTCTTATAAATTTAATAGCGTTTGTATGGTCAAATGATGCTTTATATAGTTAGTTTTCATTTGACTAAACCTGAAACTTTTTGATCTAAATACACTCGTGATACACTCGAAAATGTATACACTACGCGAGAAAAATAAGAATATAGAAATTCTGAAGTTCAATTAGCCTTCTATAGGCTACAATTGCTTTTTATATCATAAAAGACAGAGTTGGCCAAAAATGTAATCTATTACATTTTTCGATTACAGTAATCAATTACTTATAAGCATGATTACAAGGGAACATAATTTTGATTTCAGCTGTAATCGTGATTACAACAAACAATTACAGTAATCAATTACTTGTAATCATGATTACAATTCAATAAAATTTTAATTACAACTGTAATCCAAGTAATTGCGATTACAAGTAATCACAATAAAAACAATTACGAGTAATTATGATTACAAGTAATCAAAATATATGATTACATGTAATCGTGATTACAAGTAATTGTGATTACTTGTTATCAAACTATACGATTACAAGTTATTACGATTGTATACTATATGCAAATTCATTATGTAAGTATGTATGGGTTTACATATTTTTATGTAAATAGAATGCACGCACGCATGAACGTAAAATTTGTGATTCCTACATATACATATACTATGTATGCACAAACGATGTTTGTACGTACAATATACATAATTATATTGTAATATACTTAATGCAATACGTATATGCTTAGTTTATATAATTATGCATTTATGATACATGTACGCATGTATGTTAGTTTGTACGAAAATGCAATGTTTTATAACTTTATATACATATGTATGAACGTATGTGAAAATAATGTTTATACGTTTGCATGCTTTCATGTACTTAAGTACATACATTGTATACATTTACGATAATAGCACGTATATACAATGTACGTATGTATATAAAATTGTACATGTTTGCGTACAATATGTAAGAATGTTGTTTAATGGTACAATCTATGCACTTAGTTGCGTAAATAAAATGCATACATGTATGCAGGTACATTTATCTGTACATAGATATATGGTATGTACACGCAACGTATGTACTTATGTACAACGTGCGTATGTACTTGTATAACTACATACTTTGTTAATACTTATGAGCATGTAATGTATGGATGAACAAAAAATAGTTACATGCGCAATGTACGTATGTACATACAACGTATACATGTTCATAATTACAAGTAATGTATAAATGCATGCTTACATTTAAATATATGTAATTACAATATACACATACATTGTGCATACATTAAAAAAATTTATATAATAAAATCGTATAAGTAGAGTTATTAAAGTTTTTTAAAAATTTATTCTAAGGCGTATAAAATTCGACCCCATATTTTTTAGAAAGCAAACATTAATCTTATTTTAAATTTCTAAATATTATTTCCACACATAAAATTTACCGTTCTTTTTTTTCATTTAAAAATTTTCTATGAACCATGTATTATGTTATAAAAAAAATAAATCTGTATTGTCAAACATTTCACGAAAATACCTGAAAATAATTTTTAATTCAAAGAATTTTAAAATGATATAGAGCAATTAAAGCTGAAAATTAAATTTGAATATCGTTTGATTTTGTCATTTAACTTGCTTGAGTCAACTTACTTATAACTACTTATTAACTTACTTATAAGTAAGCTTACATGCATTTTATTTATTGCATTGTACACATATTTAGACATAAATGTAATGTTCGTATGTATACATGTAATGTATGTAAGTATGTACATACATTCATGCATTGAACATGCATATACAGGGTGTCTCAGTTAAGCGTTTCAGAACTTTTAAGAGGGGTAGGGGGCATCCTGACGACTCGAAATCATATAGCAATGTGGGGTCGGAAATGCTTTCCTGAAGCGGTGACGTACACAGAAGCACCATAAAGAAAAGAGACCGTAAGTGAAAAATCGTTGTAATTATACATTGAATAAATTATATGGTACATGGGCCAAAGTAAGTGTTCGAAGTTTCTGCCATCGGCTACATTGTACACCTCACATCTCCGGCGCATGGACATTCGAACATTCTGCAATACTCCAGGCATATCTCGCAGGCAGCTACTGCGATTCTTGCAACCAGTATTATCAACAGAGGTGTCATAAACCAGTGTTTTCATATGAATCCAGAAATCAAGACATGATAGGTCGGGTGACCGAGGAGACCATGTAATTTTTTCAATGTATTATTATAGCGATTTTTCACTTACGGTCTCTTTTCTTTATGGTGCTTCTGTGTGCGTCACCGCTTCAGGAAAGCATTTCCGACCCCACATTGCTATATGATTTCGAGTCGTCAGGATGCCCCCTACCCCTCTTAAAAGTTCTGAAACGCTTAACTGAGACACCCTGTATAGTTCATATGGATATGCATACATTGAACATACGTGCATTGTACATGCGTGGATACATTCATTGTATGTATATACATTGCTCATATGCATAGATTGGGATAGCATGCATGTACACATTTAAAATTTGTACGAAAGAATTATGTCCAATATTTATTTATGCACATATGTACTGTATGTGTTCACACATATGTACATTACATGAACATTATATGTTCATTGCATCATATGTACATTATATGAATATACATCTGTACACGTATATACATCTGTACAATATATGCATCTCAAATGTCTGTATACGTTATGAAAGTCGAATGTATGTATGTACATCTGTACAATATATGCATCTCAAATGTGTGTATGTACATACGTTATGAAAGTCGAATGTATGTATGTACATCTGTACAATGTATGCATGTCGAATGTATGTATGTATATATGTATAATATAAATACTCCCAATGTACGTGCAATCGTACACAAATGTATTATGCATATTTGGATACATACATTTGAACATGAACATATTGTGTGTATGCACATCCATACATTGGACATGCACATCATGTACATGTATGAATACATATATTGTATACACTCCCCAAAAGTGAAATTGCTTATTAAATTCTATTTTAAAAATATCTTNATTACAGATTAAATTTTTTAGACTCTTAGTGTATCTAAAAGTTGGTTTACAATTAAGTTGGATAGGAAGAAAGTTTTTATTATATATATATATTTACATGTATACCTATATTGTACATGTATACATATATTATACTGTTCATAATAAAATTGTACATGCATGCATGGGACATACATTGTACAGACAATGTATGTTTGTACAAACAGCAAGTACTTGTATACACACGTGTACATGAACATAGATATTCATTTTACATACACAAATATTTGTATAAAATGCATATATTCATTATTGTGTATAAATGTTCATATCTAGTATCTACATTGTTTTTACATACATACGTAATTATTAGCTATATACATACATATATTTTATACTTACAATATAAGTGTATGTACATGTGTGTGTAACTAAAAAGTCTGTACACATGCACTAGATAAAATCATATGTACGTACATTTTAGTTACATTCATTTGTACGTATACAAATACGTGCAAAATGCATCATAAGATACATTATACTATCTACTGTAAAATATAACCATTTAACCAAGAATACAATAGTCCTGAAATCGTATATTTAGATTACATGTAATCAAATTACATGTAATCAAATTACATGTAATCAAATTACATGTAATCAAATTATATGTAATCAAATTACATGTAATCAAATTACATGTAATCAGGATTGCATGTAATCACGATTACATTACAAGTAATTGATTACAGTAATTGGTTATGTAACCACGATTACAGTTGTAATCAAAATTATGAATGTTTGTAATCATGATTATAAGTAATTGATTACTGTAATCGAGTATTGTAATCACGATTACAGTTGTAATCAAAATTTGCAATCATTATTACAATTGTAATTATTACAATTACTTAAGTAATTGATTACTGTAATTGAAAAACGTAATCGATTACATTTTCGTTCTTCTCTGATGTGATCAAAAGCTTTGATTACTTGTAATCGCGATAACAAGTAATTGATTACATATCTGTAATTATCTGCAATCAATTACAGTTGTAATCGATTACTGTAATCAACGGCCAACTCTGCTGCAGATTCAAAGCAAGGAGCTCTGCAGTCATAGTCGGATCAGGGCATAACCATCTAGAAGAGAGGAGGCCGTGACCGGCGGTCTTCGCTCAACTATCGAAAGAGATCTAAGCAACCTTTAATGTAAACAAAAGACCCAAATTTAGATATGTGACGGCCGTCGATCGCTGATTCCAGAATCACAAATTGATGGAAAGTCCAACACTTGTTCGTTTGTTAATTTTTTAAAAAGTTTACTCAAGTTTTTCCCGGTATTATCTTAACTATCAGTATTCATAATCAATCTTAAATGTTGCAATTTACTCCCATTTCTGGGCTAAAAAATGAAAAATAAATATAAAAAGTTAATAGCGACTGGCAAATAATTGTAATGAATGTTACTGGTGCAGAAAATGAAGGGAATCTCTAACGTTGCAGGTTTCGGAATAAGCAGAATATGAATGTCACGTGATCTAAAATTGAATGTCATATAATTAAATCCAGTTCCGCAAATATTTCCTAAATTAGCCTGGCTAACATGACACTGGGGCTTCTTTACTGTGACTGTAACTGAAATTACATTACGCGCCAATTTGACCAAGTTTAGTGTCAAAAATTGAATTTTATTTGTTTTTGTTTCTTTATGCGCTTATTATAATCTGTCATAAACTCGAGAGCGTTTATTAAATTTTGTGCAATCTAATATTTTATTTACATACATTGCGCACAGTAGTAGCTAAATGGAGGTATGTAATAATACTTTTAATTTTCATTTTATCATACTTTGTATTTACTATGATTTCATAGACTAATGTTTTTGCTATTCTTTCTCTATTCTAAAACTATTTAATATATTTTAACTGTTTACGGACGATATTTTATTTTAATTTTAAAAAATTACACTTCTAAATAAGTTTTTCTAAGTTTTAATAATTTTTTGTTATGCTACTAATCAGTGTATTATTATACCTATTTTATTTTATGTTTAATGGGTGTTCAATACTAAATAAGTAATTAGTATATATTAAAATTTGAGATATATTATGCTTAGTGCAGATTAATTGCTTTATTTTTTGCTCTAAATTGAGAATTTCGTCATTTATATTACCTAACTATTAAATTACTCTTTTTGTTATCTTATGGATAAATTGATCCTGTCTTTCTGATTCATTAGGGTTTTGAGCTTAAATGCCATTCCATTGCAAGAAACTAAGTCATAGGTAAAAAATTACATTATCAGGGGTCTGCCTAGGTTTTTCTGAGAGGTACCTATATTGTGAAAATTTAGACATAATTTGTGAAAAATTAAAAATTATAAAAGAGTCAACACAAAAATATGGATTTCTCTTTTCTTACGGGATATAGAAATATAATTTGAAGAAAAAGTATTTTATGAAACTACCGTTTTTCCTAAAGTTGAATTTGTGAAGGTACCGTCAAACGGTAGTAAATTTGGCTTGGACAGACCCCTGATTATTTTGTTAAAAATACTTAACCAAATTAAATTAAGCAAGGTTACATTTAGAATATGATCTTTAAAAACCATGAAAAGGTGTTAATTTATTAAAATAATTATTCTTTAAATTTTACTTTGATTTATTATTATTAATTTAATTAATTTATTTAAATTATTATTCTTAATTTTAAATATCTTCTCATCCTCAAAAAATAATACATACTTTATTGTAATAATAATGTTTGTTTATTTTTATTTGGTAGGGATTCAGAATATTATTTTGATAAAATTTAATTGTAACAATGATTGGAATGGTTAAAAATTCTCTTCTGTAACAAACCAACATGAAATATGTAACTAACAAAAGAATGACTTCAGTAAATGTTGTAGGGTAAATTTCTATAGATTATTCTGAAATTATTGTTTCAATAATGGTATAACTTAATGTTAATAATAATTATAATAATGTATGTTAAACAAAGAAAAGCATTTGATACCTATTGTGGTTCATTTAAATACACAATTGAATTTTTTTCCCAAAGAACATATTTTAAACAAAGCCCGACAGGTGGCCGAGCGGTTTCCGTGCCTGACTGCGAAGCCGATGGCTGTGGGGATGAATTTCGCTCAGGTCATGGATGTTTCTCTCTGTGTTGTCAATGTGGCCCACCCTATGAATGAGTATCTGTGGCAGTGTTGTTCGCCTCTGTAACTTAAGTTTACAGGTGCCCATTAGGTGATGTTAATTGAGCATAACTTCCAGCATTTTCTGAGGTGAAGAACGAAAGTTCAGTACCTGCCGTTCAAAAAAAATAAAAAATTGGGAAAATTTTTATTATTTTCTTTTTAGTGTTGTATACAATTGTGTATATCATTTATTGTATCTGTGTGAATCATAGGGTTGGGGTGAGAAAATCATAATACTGATAATGGTACCAGTAGTTGGGAATTATTCTTGAACATAACTGAATAACTATATCCTTAACTATAATTTAACTTTTTCTATGACTAATTTGTGACAAAAAATTGTAAGCATGAATTTAGTTATAGGCATCAAGTGAAAAAAAGAAAGCTGACTTATATAGGAAATAATTCAGTGGAATCTTTTTTTTTTCCTTTCAAAAAACCATCTTTTAACTAACCTTATGATTTTTTATATAATGTATAATTTGCAATGCATTAAATTTTTTTTTTATGATGTATAATACATTAAAAACGTTTTTTGTACATTTTGAATAGTCTGATTCTGCCTCTGACGTTAGAGAGAATGGAGTTACTTCGCCTAGGAGTAACATTTTGATGTCAAGTCCTGCTCGAGATTTGCCAGCATTTGAAGATGAATCTGAAATAATTGGTGGAGCTGGAGAAGAAGATCAAGTCATGGAAGAGGATGGAGAAGAATTGTTTGGTGACAACATGGAAGCGTATGTATTTTATGAGATAAAAAACTACACAATAATCATGTTTTTATATTCATGAATTTGTGTGCGTTTTCATTGATTGAAATTTATTAGTTTTTTGGGTAATTCTAATTAATATGGTAATTAAATTTGTAATTTGGTATTACAGAGATTATAGAGCTATTCCTGGACTTGATCGTTATGATCCAGAGATGCTGGATGACTCTGAATATAGTATGCTATCTGAAGGAGACCGCCATGCTGCTGAAGAAGAAATGAGAAGAAGAGATCGGACCGAAGGGCGTGCTGTTGGTCGTATGCGGCGTGGTTTGCTCTATGGTATGTAATGGAAATTTAGTTTGATTTATGTTGCCACAATTTTTTCTTAAAAGTTTTTAGTATGTAATTAAATTTTATTTGTTTGAATTACAAGGAATAATTTCCTTTTCTCACTGATTTTATTTTACAGGTTCAGAGTCTGAAGAAGAGGAAGAGAGGCCTACTCGTCGAAGGCGATTAGCGGAAAGAGCAGCTGAAGGTGCAGCCGCTGATGAGGAGGTAATTAATAATTTCAATTTTTGTATAATTTATTACAATGTATAAAATTTCAACTCTAAAGGTAATAGCCAAACTTATCAGTATTTACTAAAAAGAATATAGGAATTTTTTTAAAAATGTTACCAAATGCAGTATGAAGAGCTTTTTAGTGACTAAAATCATAAAAGGATGTAAAAAAATTAAAACATAGTTTTGTCAAATTAATGACAAAAATTATTTAACCCACTGCCGACTGGCGGTTAAGAAAATGGGCAAAATTGGGAGAATGTTTCTCCCCTATACACTATTCCCCTATCCTTTAACATGGAAAAACCTTTGCCATGCAGAGAAGACTGCAGGCTAAAATGCGACTTTTTACGTTTAGAACCGTCAGTGGCTTAAAATAAGGTTGCTATTAGGTTTCAATGATTCCAAAGTTGTCCCTAGGAGTTAAAAAAGACAGGGGGCTTCCTTACAGAAAAGTCATTCACGTATCATCATTAAAATTTATCAAAATGTTTAATGTTATATAATTGAATTTGACCCTAACTATTAAATTACCATCTTATTTTATTTCATGTGCATATTTTGCAAATAATTCTCATTTTTTGACAAAATTTACAAAAAAATGTTAAGCTTTTGAAAAATAATCTAAAGGGCAATCTAAAACACAATCTTTGTATATATTTTCTTCAAAAAAAGTTAACAACCCCCAAAAAAATTATTAATTGATAAACAACTTTGAAGCTTTTTTTAAATATTTTAAACTGAAAATTAAGAGAAAATAAAATTTAAAGGTGCGTTATATTAATGGTATTTTTTTTTAAAAAAAAAGTAGTGATGGTAAAATTTAAAATGACTAAATTATTCTTTCATATCCCTCAAAAAATGTCATGCGAATTTTAACTATATAACAGTGTTTTCATCTTAGAAAAAAAATGGGTGAGAATTTCTCACCCTTTCTCAAAAACAGGGTGAGATTTTAAAAACTTAAGTGAGATTTCTAAAAACTAGAAAAGCACAGAAACTCATGAAAAAATTTTTTTTTTAATTATAATACATTTCTAACGTCTTCTATTTTTTAAAGCATTGAATATTTTTGGTGCATTCATAGAAGATTTTGCCTTTACAAGGTATTTGTCCATCTTACATTAGCACATAAAAAATTTGAACGTCTTACATGAAGAAACCTAACCTACGGTAAACACGTGGTTGCAGAGAAATGTGTTCTGAAAGGGGTTCTGTGGTTGTGTTCTGTTGTTCGAAAAGGTTTTTAACAATACTGGTAAATAGGGAAGCTAGATAACGGGGCAGGTGTTGAAAATAATGAAAGATACAGGCAGAAAAGTGAAACGGATTTTATTCTAAATGGCGTAATTCTAAGCTTTGTTCGAGAATGCGAGAAATTCGCGATTTTTGAAATTGATTTAAAGAATGCGCAAATTTCTTGCGGTAATAATTTTTTAATGCGAGAAAAGAAAAAAACATGCGAGATTCTCGCGTTCTCGCGCTGTAGTGAAAACACTGTATAACTAAGAAAAACCTTGCTAAAATGAAGGAATCTAATTAAAAATTGGAAGTTAATTTGCTATCAGTAACTAAATAAATCAGAAGTGGACTTTTCATTAGAACAGGTGATTAATAAAACATTTTCCTGAAAAAAAAATACTAAAAAGGCAGTGTTTTTAAGAGACTGAGAAAACAAAACAACAGCAAGTGCAGAAAATACTGAATTTTTTTGAAAGAGTGACAGAATTAAAATATCTTAACTCAATTATCACTGAAAAAAATGAATAAAACCCAGAGATAGACTGGCAGTTGGAAACAGAAGTTACTTTTCAATTCTTAAGTTGTTTAAAACTTCTCTGCTTTCAAGAAAGTTGAAATTACAATTATATAAAATAATAGTTAGACCCATTGTCACATATGTAGCCGGGACTACCACTCAAAATGAAGAAAAAATGCTTATTCCTTTTAAGAGGAAGATTTTCAGGAAACTATACGGACCAACCTAAGATGGTGATTTTTGAAAAATTAGGAGTAATTTAGAGGTAAGTAAACTATATAAAGAAAAAGATATAGTAAATTTAATAAAAACAAAAAGAATACAATGTCTAAGACATCTGGAGTGAATGAGTGAGAAAAGAAAAACTTGAGGAAAAGAGAAAAGTCGGACAACCTGGAAAGAGATCTAAATAAAATAAAAAAATTTAATTGGGGGGTAAAGGCCAAGGACCCCCCCCCCCAAAAANCCAAAAAAAAGAAGTTATGTGGTAAATGAAGCCAAGGTCCTACATGGACTGTAGAGCAGAGGAGAAGTAGTATTTTTTTTTTTAAGGAGTGGCAGCTTTTTTTTTTAAAGTTCAAATTTATAGAGATTTAAGAATGCTTAGAGAGCACACTTATGATTCATATATCATTCGCATATCCTAGAAATAAGAAAAATATCAGAAATGTCCCTATAGTTTTACCTCATCATGTTTGCTTACTGTTGTCTTATGGCTCTAAAATGCCATCTGTCAGGGCCAGAATATGTTAAAGGATCTATTTTTTGGAATTTCTGACTAAATCATTCTAGCAAATTTTGAACACAGTAGTCTTAAAATGTTAGCTGAAGTTACATTCTGTTATTTTCCCCAGATTTCACAAGTTAATGTTAACTCCGGCAAAAATTTGGTATGTGGTTAGATTTAATACACAAAATTTTTCAAAACAAAACTTACTTGTCAGGACCTAAATATTCAGTAGACAATGTCAAGCTGGCGAGTGGAAATTTTGTGTCTTGATTTGCAATTTGGTTGTAATTTGTTAGAATATACTTAATAGTTATGTTAATAAAAAATGCAACTTTTAAATTTTCAATTTTAGATGATAGAAAGTATTGAAAATTTGGATGATATGCGTGGGCATTCTGTGAAAGAATGGGTTTCTCTACTGGGTCCTCGCACTGAGGTCTACAATCGTTTTAAAAATTTCTTAAGGACTTATGTTGATGATAATGGCCATAATTTGTATAGAGAGAAGATTAGGCAGATGTGTGAAGGTAAGAGCAAATACAGTTATTAACAGTGCTAAACTCATTTTAAGATGTTTTTAAAATCTGCATTACAATTGTGGAAGTACTAAAATATAAATATTATTGGATGTATTAAGTTTGAAACTTGTCAACTTTGATTTCCTAAATCTCTTTCAATAACGTTTTCCTATTAAGTTTTATTGCCTGTGTAATTTGTTCCCTTTTTCCCCCCAAATCTTTCATATCTCCAGCAATTTTTAATTTTCATGTTAGTCTTTTTAACTGCACTAACACGTTAAATTTAAATTCATAATGTTTCCTTTTTAATTAAATAATAAAATTTTTTTCTTAATTAAATAAATATTCTCTTTATTTTGTTGTGCTAAATTGTATAAATTTTTGTGCAAAGTCTGGTTAACATTTAAATTTATGAAGAAAATTTTTAAAAATGTCAGTAGCTTTGTTTGATTAAACTATTTTAATGCTAATTTTCCAGTATTTTGTCAAAATATTTTATTAAATTAAGTAATTTTTTTTAAATCCAAAAAGTGCTTAAATCATCCAGAGTTTTCCCAAGGAATAAAAAGGGCAGGATGCTGCTTTGCAGAAAAGAGTACTTTGAGTTTTGAAATGGCCCTCACCACCGTAAAAATTTATCAAAATGTGTAATGTTATAACTGAATTTGATCCTCAACAATTTTTAAATTACTCTGTTTATACTATTTTATGTGTATATTTCTAAANTTTCTTTAACTGCACTAACACATTAAATTTAATTTCGTAATGTTTCCTTTTTAATTAAATAATAATTTAATTAAATAATAATTTAATTAAATAATAAATAATTTTTCTTAATTAAATAATTATTCTCTTTATTTTGTGCTAAATTGTATGAATTTTTGTGCAAAGTCACGTTAACATTTAAATTTATGAAGAAAATTTTTAAAAATGTCAGTAGCTTTGTTTGATAAACTATTTTAATGCTAATTTTCCAGTATTTTGTCAAAATATTTTATTAAATTAAGTAATTTTTTTTAAATCCAAAAAGTGCTTAAATCATCCAGAGTTTTCCCAAGGAATAAAAAGGGCAGGATGCTGCTTTGCAGAAAAGAGTACTTTGAGTTTTGAAATGGCCCTCACCACCGTAAAAATTTATCAAAATGTGTAATGTTATAACTGAATTTGATCCTCAACAATTTTTAAATTACTCTGTTTATACTATTTTATGTGTATATTTCTAAAAATAATTAAAGACACGCTAAAGGACAATCTCTCTCTGCATAAATTTTTTCGAAAAGAGTAGGAGCTAAAGTAAATGATTAATTAATAACCAGCTTGAAAGCTTTTTTCTATAATTTAAACTAAAAATTATGAGAAAATTACATATAAGGGTGTATTTTTTTTTTAAAAAAAAAAAGCATTTATTTAAAAAATTTCAAAATTTAAAATCATTAAAAATTTGTTCTTGTCCTGCCTCCCCTTTTGTTAATACTCCCCGCCTTTGGCCCCCCCCTCAAAACAAAAAGAGATACTTTACGAGTTAAGAATAATATGAATAAAGTAAATATTATTAATAAGTAATCAGAATTAAACCTGTAAACACTTATAATTTTACCAGTGTGCAATCTTTATTTAAACAGTGGTTTAATTTTTAAAATCTGGAATATGAATAAAAAGGCAGTGTTTTTAAGGGATAGCAGCTTATTTTTACAAAAAGAGATCATTTATAGGGATCAAAATGCAGGCAGGGCGTGCTGCCCTTCTAAAAGCGTTTAGGGAGGATACTGCATATAATTAATATAAATTTATTTACAAATATATATGATATATTTTTATTTGGCAGTTGCCAAAATTTTTACCAAACAAATGTTAAAAACTTGATTTTTCTACCTCCTTAAAATCTGAGCGAAGTTTTATACCTAAACACGCTTTGAGAAAGACAAAACTAGAGTTTATAGCTAATTGACAGCCATGTAATTTGTTTTCTAGACTGATAGAAAAGTATAATTATAATATAATCCTAGACTAATATAGCTACATTAATGTAAAGCTTGTATTATTCAAAATTAATTATTAAAGGAATTTTTTTTAACCTTTAATTTTCTTCATCTCATTTTTCTTTTAAAGTACTAAATTTTATGTATATCTGAAAATAACTTTAATTTTATTTATTTTTGTAGTTGTGTAATAAATTTTCTGCTTTACTTTTTAGAAAATAGGCAAAGCTTTGAAGTTGATTATAATTGTTTAGCTGCAGAAGAACAAGTTTTAGCTTATTTCTTGCCCGAAGCCCCTACTGAAGTCTTAAAAATTTTTGATGAAGCTGCTAAAGATGTTGTTTTTAGCATGTATAGTCAATATGAGAGAATCACCAGTGAAATTCATGTACGCATAACAGATCTTCCCTTAATGGAAAATATTAGAAGTTTAAGGTAATATTTCAGTATATATTTCTTTTTATGCAATTAAAAGACAAAATGTTTCATTACTATATAAAACTTGAGAGTTTTTGGCATTCAGACAATAAATTATTTTGTAAAAAGAGACCAATAAAATGATTATACAAAATAATCAAATTTCTGCCATGTGCCTATCCCAGTTTTCTTGACCTTGGGCTCTGGGGTACTGCAACAGATATCCCGGTTGGGCACCCAAAACCCCTAGCATTTAGTCAACACCTCTTAGACGAGCAAAGGCTTCTCCCTACGAATCAATTTAGCAGTCCAACTTACCAAATATAAACTGTGCAGTGAGTAAAAAAGAAGAATGATGTCACAATGTTAAGGCTATTAAAGGATCAAATTCTCGGTTATGATAGCCGTGCGGAGGCTTTCTGTTTTTTAGGAAGTGTTGGTTTAGTTCCCAAACATGCTTGAAACTCATTTTATCAACCAACTGAAGGAATGCACAACTTCCCGGTCTAAGGATAGAATCTCGAAACTTCGGCACGGGAGCGCATAATGCTACCATTCGATCACTGAGTTCACTCGGTCCCTTTTTAGTTTTTCTCTTGCCTACAATTTTTCACCCCTTAAAGTGCAGAGAAACTGTTTTTATTAAAATGTTATCAAAGTGTCTTTACTTTGTACAGAAAATATGTATGCATGATAAATAATATATTTTGTCTGTATTATTTCAGTTTTTAATTCCGTCAGTAGTTACTCTTTTTTTAAATTTTTTTTTAAACAATCCCTCTCTATAGAAGTCAATGATCCTTTTCAAACATATGTATCTTACAGACTTTTTTAAAATTTCTTCTTTAACTCCTAAATTGTCTCTTTTATTTTTAGGCAGTTGCATTTGAACCAGCTCATTAGGACATCTGGTGTGGTGACCTGTTCTACAGGTGTACTACCACAATTATCTCTCGTGAAATATGACTGTATTAAATGTAACTATGTACTTGGACCTTTCGTTCAGACATATGATAATGAAGTCAAACCAGGAACTTGTCCAGAATGTCAAAGCAATGGACCATTTCAAATCAACATGGAACAGGTTATTTCATGTTTATATATTAATTATATTTTAAATATGTTGATAATAGTTTTCTTATTTGCTACATTTATAAAAAATATTGTATTTCATTTTTTTGAGTATATATTTTTTTTTATATAGAAAAGCTTATATTTGCAACATAACTATTGAAATTATTGAAGGATTACTTAAAATGTGCAATATCTTTAATCAATGGCAAGTTTCTTTCATTCAACCCTAGTGAAAGAAATGGTAGAAAGTCTTTTTAAAAATGAAATATTAAGTATAAAATTAAAATTTTAAACTGTTTGTAATGCATTTTAGGTTAACTAATTGTATTAATTTACAAGTTATTTAATAAATCCTTTTTAAATAAGTGAAAATTAAAAAGAGAAACTAGAATTTTTTTTTAAAATTAAATATATTAAGAAATTGAAAGAAATTTTTCTTTTAACCTTAAATGTTTTACATAGATTAGTATAATGGAATTTTATCTTATAATTATATAAAGAAATTAGATTAAATAATATTTAATTCAAAAAAAAATAATAGATTTAAATATAATTAATAATAAAATTAGAATTTTTATGCACTAATTACTGAATCTAATTTTTAAAGTAATAAATATATAAAATTTGATAAAGTAGTGAACAACTTTAAAAAGGAACAATAAATATGTAATAATTTCACTAATTATGCTTTTATTTAAATAAAACTATCAAGTTTTCAAATATATACAAATGTCATTGCAAGGGTATTTATTCTTTTATATTTCAGCAACTTTATAGTATTCTGCTTAGAATTTATTACAAGTAATATAAATCTAGAGGGGAGAGAATTACTTGTTATTTCATTGTTTAATAATATCAATTTTAAAAAAAACTAAAATTAATTAAAATTGTTCTTATATAATACATTAATGTAATTCAATATGCCAGTGTAACTGGACTTCAGACCTAGTTATAAAATTGTGAAATACACTTCAAAAACTGTTTCTAAGTTTTAATTGAAGCACTCCAGTTTCGTCATTTCAAAATTTCTGCTCAAAAACTAATGTTTTAATCGTTGCCAATGCCCTGGTTTGTGAAGTTAAGCTTTTTAAATACAATTCAAAAACTTGTTTGTCAAGTGGTATAAGTTCTGTTATATTTTACAAACAATAAAACTATTCTTTTAATTTTTATTAGGAATGGGGTGCAAGTATCTGTTAAAAGTAAATAGAAAAATGTCTCATATATTATCATAATTATATATTATCATAATATTTATTTCAGACCATCTACAAAAATTATCAAAGAATCACTATTCAAGAAAGTCCTGGGAAAGTTGATGCCGGAAGGTTACCAAGATCTAAAGATACGATTCTCCTTGGTGATCTGTGCGATTCTTGTAAACCAGGTGATGAAATTGTAAGTAAAATTTATGTAGATTACTTCTTGAATCTTGTTATGCTCTTCTTTAAAATAGTTCTGTTCCAAAATGAAAATTTTTCAAAAGTTTTTGTCAGAAATGTTATAAATGCACTTTTTTTTTTTGAACGGAAAAAAAAAAGATAAGAACTTAATCTATGACTTTATGAACTTAATGTATTAAGGAATTTTTTTTTAATCAATTAGATAAATTTCATAAATTATCTATGTGCTACAAAAGTTTTTAGTTAAAAATGTGATCAGAATTTTCTTTACTGTGAATTTCTGAGTGCTGTTAGATTTCTTTTTTAAAATTTTTTTTGACCGTTCATTACTGCTTTTTTCCAAGACTAATACTATAATAGGCAATTATATTTAAATAATGTTTTTATATCATGTATTTAAATTGGGTGTTCTTGTTGCTGACACTTATTTTTAATACAACAATCTTTCTTCCAAAAAGTTCTTACTGTGTTTTTTTTTGCCCACTTTAAGTAAAAACTTAAAAATCCTGTCATTTAAATATAGGAAAAAATTATTTATATTTGCATATATATTATATGTATTACATTCTCTTTTTAAATATTAAGTTATTTAATGATGTTCTTTTCTTTCAAGTACAAAACACTGCCAAGATTATTTTCCTAGTATTTTAAATTAATTTTAGACATTTAATATTTTTAATTGCTGTAAATATCTAAATTTAATGTGAAAATTTGTTTTTATTACAGGAAGTAACAGGGACTTACTCCAATTGTTATGATGGATCACTAAATACAGCCAATGGTTTTCCTGTTTTTGCAACCGTTATCATAGCTAATCATGTTGCCAAAAAAGATAAAATTGTTTCACAAGGTTTGACTGATGATGACATTAAGGCTATAATTGCTCTTTCCAAAGATGAGCGAATAGGAGAACGAGTAGGCATTTTTTTTTGTACTGCTATAATTTATTAGAAAACTATTTTTATATATTTGAGATTATTACCATATTTTTATGAATCACATTTCTATGTGAAAAGTCAAATACTCTTAAGATTAACTTTATTGGTACTATTGCACTTTAGGGTTCCAAAAGAGACATCACCACATTAACTATATTAGGTACTTATTTATTATTAAACCAGTAGTGCCTATTACCAAAATTTGTAAAACATCATTGGTGTAAATAATAGTTTAGTCATTTTTTTTTACAACCCCACAGACAGAATAGTTCCATTTTATTTTATTTAAATTTTATTTATTTAATTTTTGTAGATAATAGCAAGTATTGCTCCCTCAATTTATGGACACGTGGATGTAAAACGAGCAATTGCCTTATCTCTGTTTGGAGGAGAGGCTAAAAATCCAGGTAATAAAAGTTAACTTAGTATTTAAATTGTTTTTTGTTTTTTTTCCTGCATAATTTTGGTAGATTTTTTATGCTTTAGTCAGTTATGCAGATCTATTTTAAAATTACTAAAAAAATTATTTTAAATTTGCCACTGACTAATTTTTATTATTTTAATACAGTATATTTATTTTTCAATGGAGAAGCTAGTTGTGAATTAGTATTTTTTTTAAGTAAGTCTGATATTTAAAAAAGAAGATAAGGTTTTCATGATTAATTATTATTTTATACAGCCTTTGAGTTTGATTTTGTTTTTTCTTCTGTATTTTTAAATGTCCTTTTTTCTTTACAAATTAATAATACAAATTTTTTTTTTAGGTCAAAAACACAGAGTTCGAGGTGATATCAATATTTTGGTGTGTGGTGATCCTGGTACAGCAAAATCACAATTTTTAAAATACACTGAAAAGATTGCTCCTCGGGCAGTTTTCACCACTGGACAAGGTGCTTCTGCTGTTGGTTTAACTGCCTATGTGCAGAGAAGTCCTGTCACTAAGGAATGGACGTTAGAAGCTGGGGCTTTAGTACTTGCTGATAAAGGAGTTTGCATTATTGATGAATTTGATAAGGTGCTTTTATGTAGAATTTATGTTTTTTTTTTTAAAATTTTAGTCCCTAAAAGATTAAGAAAGTAGCAGAAATTAGAACCTTTAAGTCTTCATGATGTAATAAAATTTTTTTTGCATCAAATTTTAAATATGCAAAATAAGTTTTTATTCACAATAAATAACCTAATTTAAATCATAAAATAATTTGCAAAATTTTGGTTGGTTATATGTAAACTATTCAGTAGAAAATTTGCAAGTATTTATATTTTTTATTTAGATTACACTATTTAGGAAAGAAAAGAATTAATAGGGAGAAAAACACCATTTTGTAATTAAACAGTTAAATCTGATATTATTTGCACATTGTTATTGTGTTTATAGTTTACCTATATAGATGTTAAATTTGCCTTAACCAAACTCTTAAGTCTTAAGAAAACAAACACTATCTAAAGAAGAGACGAGTTAGGAAAAAAAATAGTATTCTGATGGAATATAGTTTATAATTTGTGTCATTCTTAGTCCAAATAAAAATGTAATTTTATTTCAAAAAAATTTAAATTTGAAAAATAGAATTTCATAACTTTTTTCTAAGAAACAATTCTTGTTGCTTCTTAAATGACATTAGCATGAATAGCACACAGGTATGCACAGGTAAAAATCGGGATTAATAACTTTCAGTTATGTATTTCAATTGTATTTAGTATTCCTTTAATAAAATTTATAAATATTTTTAAATTTTATATATTAACAATAATAATAGAAGGAAATAGTTTGTATAATATATACAAATTGAAGCCGACAACACATAGCAAATGTTTTCTTTGATTTAAGTGTTATTGATTGACATTCAAGCATATTAGAATTGTGTATAGGTAATAAAAAATGAAAGAAATAAAACTTTGAATTAAAATACACTTATTTTCATTAATTTTGGATGTTGAGGTGTCTGTAAAATGATGTTGGAGGAATATGGATAGTTTAGAAGGAACTGTTTGCTAAATAGAGGTTATCTAAGGGGTATTAGGAATATTTGAGTCACAAAATCAACTGCATTTCTGAATAGTGATATATATTCTAAAGACTTAGTTAACAGTTCAGATTGTTCTCATATTTCCATAATTTCCTGATGCAAAGTGTGTTGTTTTTGCTTTTGAACTGTTCATATGTGTGTACTGGTTTAAGAAAGAGTACATGTGATGTTTTTTTTTTTCAGTTTTCATTATTTACATCGTTAAGATCCCTATGTTATTAATACATTTATTATTTTATGTTCATTTTTTAAGCGGGGTATAAGTCTTGTTTTTCTTTTTCTCAGTTTGTCTTACTATGTAATCCTTAAACTGTCAACACTAAATATAGTTTGAGGTACAACAGTTCATTTTCTTGCACAGAAAACCAGTTTTCTCACATTCAATCGAAATTAATGTACAGGGGGAGAAATCCCCCCCCCCCAAAAAAAAATCCGCTTTTGCAGATAATCAGATAACCTCTTGTACTGGCAAGAAATTCATTGTATGTTTACCATAACATTTGACCGCAACTGACTGTAAGGCATTAAATGTTAAATGCCTAATTGACATTTTTCTTTGAATTTCTGTGAACCACAAATGTGTTTTTAAATTCAACTGCCTGCTGACATGTGGAGTACATTGTTGATGATTTTGTAACAAAGAATATCTTGAGTGTTGTACATTTTTCCTGCGCAAGTTGTTAAAAAATATAAAATAATTCAAATCTTTATCAACTTTTCTGAAGCTTTGATTCTTTATTTTTTTTAAATATTTTATCTAATGAGTAATGGGAAAAGTTTCTTTCTAGTTATTGAAATCAATTTGTCCTAATTTAAACTAGTGCTAACTTTATTAAATTCTTAATTTTTTTTACATTTTTTATTAGCTTTTAAATTTTTTAATTTATTGCAAGATGAAAAAGTTACTTCTTTCATCAAATATGTCTTATATTTTTAAGTTAATTTATAATAATTTATAATAGTTTATTTATAATTGCATTTGTTAGGCCTATACAACTTTATAAATTTAAATTTGTCAGAAAAGCCCAAGCCTTAACTTTACTGTGTGAAAATTATGTACAAAAATTATGCATTATATTTTAACAGAGCAGTTTGGTTACTGTAGCTTACATCAAAAATGCAGTATTTCACCTTTTGCTTACGGTTTGATAACACCTGTTATTCTGGCCCATGGATTGTACCAGCCATATCAAAAAGTTTATAAATTAAGTTGACTCTGAAATTTTATCTTTTTTTTTTTTCAAATAAATTTTAAAAAGTTTACTGGATAAGCAAATCTAAACTAAATTCTCTGTAAATAAATAATGAATTTATATTTCGTATGCATTTTAAGAATTGTTTGTCAATAGCATTTCAGTTGATTAAATAGTTCCTAATTGACTATTGATGATTCCTTTCAGATGAATGATGCTGACCGTACCAGCATTCATGAAGCTATGGAACAACAAAGTATATCCATTTCAAAAGCTGGTATTGTAACTTCTTTGCAAGCTCGATGTGCTGTAATTGCTGCTGCAAATCCTATTGGAGGACGTTATGACCCTTCCCTAACATTTTCAGAAAATGTAAATAGAATTTCGCATGTATAATTTAAAGATTTTTTTTTAAAATTCAATTTATTTTACCCTGCTACATTTTTTGTTACAGGTTGATCTGACTGAGCCTATTTTATCTCGATTTGATATCTTATGCATTGTTAGGGACCAAGTTGATCCACTTGAAGTAATTTTTATTCATATTAGTTAGCAAAATTTTGTCGCGTAAAAATTATATAAATGATTAGAGTTTTGTGTTAAAACACTGAGTTTTCTTTCTTTTCTTCTTGTTTTTTACATTATTTTGCTGTGTATTCTTCTAATATTATAACAAACCTCATCATTATTAGGGCTGCTAGTTCGTCACGAAAAAAAAAGACCCCAAATTCGCGGGATATTTTGAAAATGACGCAGTTTTTAAATACAAAAAAAATTTATTATATGAATGATGTAAAAGACTAAAATCGTGCAATTAATAAAACAAAAGCGTAAAAAATACACAACAAAAGTATTTTAATTTCAGGCAATATAAATATTTTTATTTAAATGAACAGAATTTTGTACATTGTCTGATTATTTTTATTTATGCTATGTTGTTCATCACTTAATACATTTTTATACTTTGAAAACGATATTTCTATGTCCTCGCTGTTTGCAGTCACCGACAAGCATCGAATTGCCACTTTGACCAATTTTGGATACCATTCGGTCTTTGATTCCCACAACTGGATCAATTTCCCTTCATCAATGTGCAATTCCTTGACTGTTGCTTTGTAAAAATTAAATTCACTTATCAATTCTTCGGCATCCTCAAACATCAGGATTATGTTCAAAAATTGAAGAATTGTCCTCTTCATTCCACTTAAATATTTACATCGACTGGGTTCGAAAACTCTGCTTTATAAAAGCTTGAGACTTCTCTTAAAGAAATCACAAGAAGCAGCAAAGGAAAATTTGTCTCGCTACATACAAAGGCAGAAATTTCATTACCCAGTGCAATAGCCTGTATAACAATTCTGTCAAAGATTTGACATATAACACTTTGTTTCTTTTGTGATTCCTATTTCTTTTATATTTCTGAGTTCAGGAAGGTCATTCTAATCAGTCTTATCACCCTCCCCAAGAATAGAAAGACCACCTTACTTGATAAGATTGGGATTATCTCTTATATCTGAACTATTTTCTTGTCATTTTTCTATCGATTCTCACTCTTATGCTATTGATTTTAGCTTCCTTAAATGTCAAATCAATTTTACATGCTTAATTTGTGGCTTCAAGAAAGTAAAAAATTCTGTTAAATAACGTAATAAATTTAAAAAAAGTTCTAATTTTGAACAATTTTCGGGCAAATTGAACAAATTTAGAAATTTGCTGATTTTAGGAAAAAAAGAGAACAATTTCGCACCGCACTGCAGCTCTACTCATTATGCATCAAGGTATGCAAATATATTTACAAATTCATAACATTTATAAATTTGTATATCTGTTTGGGGCTAAATACAAATTTAGCCCCAAAACCAGTGACTTACAATAAAAAAGTATTCATTACCTTGTTGTTTTATGGAAGTTTACAATATTTTAAAATTGTAAAACTTTGACACAGTTATTAATGTATTTTATATTGTTTTGTGTGCAGGTGAGAACAAATATTTTTTTTTCAAATAGTATTTTTATAGTTCTGATTAATATATAAAACTATTTTTTATGTTAATTTCTATCTAATGAGAATATAGAAAGATTTTTTTTACAATTTAAAAAAGCTTTGTTCTGTTTAAATAACAGCTTTATTATTCAATTATAATAAGGCTAGTAGTTTTATATTTCAAATTTTTAAGTTTTATTAGAAAAATAAATTTGTATAAATTTTAAGCCTCTTGAGTTTAGTTCTCTCATTGTAAATACTGTGTAACTAAGATCTTTTGTTAAGTCATGCAAACTGCATATTACTTTAAACTCTGCATATCTTGCATATCTATTAGCTGCATATCTATTAGCTTTCATATTGAAATTGAACAGTATGTGTACAGTGTTCAAAACATTTTGTTATAATTTTTTTTTGATTATATTGAAANTAGTGCAAATAGCCTGTATAACAATTTTTCTGTCAAAGATTTGACATATAACACTTTGTTTCTTTTGTGATTCCTATTTCTTTTGTATATCTACTGAGTTCAGGAAGGTCATTCTAATCAGTCTATCACCCTCCCCAAGAATAGAAAGACCACCTTACTTGACAAGATTGGGATTATCTCTTATCTCTGAACTATTTTCTTGTCATTTTTTTCTTTTGATTCTCACTCTTTTGCTATTGATTTTAGCTTCCTTAAATGTCTTAAAATCAATATTACATGTTTAATTTGTGGTTTCAGGAAAGTAAAAAATTCTGTTAAATAACATAATAAATTAAAAAAGGAATTTTTTTTTAATTTTAAAAAATTTTCGGGCAAATTGAAACGAATTTAGAAATTTGCTGATTTTAGAAAAAAAGAGGTCAATTTTGCACCGCGCTGCAGCTCTACTCATTATGCATCAAGGTATCCAGTGACTTACAATAAAAAATTATTCATTACCTTGTGTTTTATGGAAGTTTACGATATTTTAAAATTTTAAAGCGTTGACACAGTTATTTATGTATTTTATATTGTTTTGTGTGCAGGTGAGAACAAACAATTTTTTTTCAAATAGTAATTTTATAGTTCAGATTAATATATAAAACTATTTTTTGTGTGAATTTCTATGTCTAATGAGAGTATAGAAAGATTTTTTTACAAGTTAAAAAAGCTTTGTTCTGTTTAAATAACAGTTTTATTATTCAATTATAATAAAGCTAGCAGTTTTATATTTCAAATTTTTAAGTTTTATTAGAAAAATAAATTTGTATAAATTTTAAGCCTCTTGAGTTTAGTTCTTTCACTGTAAATACTATGTAACTAAGATCTTTTGTTAAGTCATGCAAATTAAAGTTTAAGTTTAACAAATTTTTAAGATCTAATTTGTTTTTACTTTAAACTCTGCATATCTTGAGCTTTCATATTGAAATTGAACAGTATATGTACAGTGTTCAAAACATTTTGTTATAATTTTTTTGATTATATTGAAATATTTTTTAGGATCGTCGATTAGCAAAATTTGTGATTCAAAGTCATGTTAATCATCATCCAGAAAACGAAAGCTCTGGAAAAAGTAGTTTTCCTGAAATGGTAATTGCTTTGAATTTTATAATTTTTCAAGTAATTTTCGCTTATTGTTTGATATGAATCAATGCATACTATTTTAATTGTCAAATTTAATTACCAATTTTTTTTCTTTTTAAGAATAATTATTGTCTTATTGTGTTAATGTGAAATTTCTTAAATTTTATATATGCTAACAGGAAGATCCATTAATGGCTGGTATTGAAAAAATTGCTCAAGATCTGTTAAGAAAATACATTATTTATGCTCGAGAAAAAGTCAATCCTAAACTCCATCAAATGGATCAAGATAAAGTTGCAAAATTGTATAGCGAATTAAGACGAGAAAGCATGGTAAGTTTTATACCAATACAAGACTCCCAAGTAGTCCTCTTTTCCTACCAAGTCTATATGCTATAGTGAAGACATTTATTAATGTTTTGGTCCTCTTAAATCTCTTTTGAAAAAGAGAGAAATCCTAATTATAAAATTGTGGGTACTTTTTAAAAAAAGTTTAACAACCTTTTTTCTAAAACGATAAAATAGGCACAAAAGTTGATTTCCCCAATTCGAATTTAACTATTTTCTGTTACATATAATATACCTTTTTTTTTTACTCAATTTGACTTGCAAGTCTTAAATATGTGCTATATTATATAAGTTTTGAGAACTTACACATGAATTGGATTAATTTAATTTTACTTCAGTTAATCTTTTTAATTTTGTAAAATTTCAGACTTTACTAAATAAAGAAATTTAATGTAAAATTTCTATTTTGTTAGTATGATCCTGTATCTTAATAAATTCTGTTTAGCTGATTTTTTTTTATTTTATTGAAGAAAACTATTGCAGGTTCTTAAGAAAACTTATACATTTTAAAAAAAAAACCTAAATGGTTCTAAGTCCTCTTTTTAGCTGCGAATGATCTTTTACCTTTTTCTTTGGTTTAAATATGTTTGTATTCCTGTAGATGCATCACTTATTAAATTTTTTAAAATTATATACATAGTTTCCAATTCATAGTGTAGATTCGCCCAATATTTATAGTGGTAGCAAAATAGTATTAAAGATCAAGAATAATTTTTTTTTTTTTTTAAATTTTGCCAATACCTTAAACTATTGCTGATAAACTGTCAAGCCTTGTATATTTATTTAAATTGTTTTTGTTTAGTGCTGGTATAATAATGGTAATTTACTACCACTTCAAATAATCAAGAAAAAGATCTCTTTCAAATGGTTGAATTCATCAAATATGTATATATACATATTTTTGTTTTAATATTTGAACTGTACTTTTAATGTAGAAAAATTCTTTTAAGTTACATTCTTAAAAATAAATAAATAATAATAATTAACCAATTGTGCTAATTATGTACAAACAACATTAAAGTTTATTTGTGATATTAATAAGCTGTATTCTTGAAAGTTTGTTTGGTAAAGCAGCTTAAAGTGAACTTGAAAATTTAGGAAATAAGACTTGTCTAGATTTTTCATTTAAAATAATGAATTTCAAAAATTCCTAAAATGGCATATGTTATCTAAGACTAAATATACCTCATATTGAAATTGCACAATGACTATGCACAATGTTAATAAAAATAATGATGTAAAGTAATTTTGCTTCTATGCTATATTGAAAAGTTTAATTCAAAAATGTTCCTTTTCTATGCTATTTATTAAAATTATCCTGATACAAATTTTCTTTTTTTTGGAAGAGAATATATTTTTTATCCTCAATCAAGCTTTCCTTCTAATTAAAACTGCAAATTTAATTATATTTAATAAATTAAACACTAGCAAAAATTAATTTAGTTTTGATCATAAACAGATGCAACATGAATACATAAGAACATTGGATAATTGAAGGAGGAAAAAAAAACCCATGTTAACAGCGTCATTAACATAATATTAAGAGTTAGTTAATATTATAATAATAGTGTCAATAGTTGGTATAATATTTTGGTTGTTACAACTATATTAAGCATATAGATTCCTTATTATTATATTTTTTTTGTTGCAAATTTGAATTTTTATTTGAATCATGATATTTTCGAGTTTCTTTGAGTTTATATTGAAGAAATTTTACATTTCCAGCTGTAGGTTTTCAATCAAGGTCTGTAGACATTTCAATACTTCTATCTTTTAAAATACTAGCTAATTGTGCAAAAAGCACAAATAATATCACATAAACATACTGTAGTTTTCATTCTATGTAGAAATGCCTTAGTCTAAACACAGGAAGAGTTGGTACAAAGTTTGATTTTTCTTCCATAAGATGACTATTGTAACTGTTAGTAAACTATTGTATATATCAGGGTAAAAAAAGACTTCAAGCTTAAATGTGTTTAATATATTAATATGTTTTCTATTTTCTTCATTTCAGGCTACTGGTAGTGTACCTGTTACTGTACGACATATTGAGTCTATGATTAGAATGGCCGAAGCTAATGCACGTATGCATTTGAGAGATTTTGTCCATGAAGATGATGTAAATATGGCCATAAGGGTCATGTTGGAAAGTTTTGTTGATACACAAAAATTCAGTGTGATGAAATCAATGAAGAAGGTAAGCTTCATGAAGAAAGCAGCGTTTCTTTTGCATTTTTTTAAAAACTTTTATATGATTAATTAGATAACTTTCAGGTTTAAATTAGACTAGCTTTTATGTTAACATTCACCAATTATAACTTTTTTTGGGGGAGGGGATATTTCTCTCTAATTTAAAATAGAATTATAGCATACTTGTCAACCCTGTGTTTATTGGCAAAACTAGTGAATTTCTATTTAAATTCCAATTTTTTCAACAAATATGTCACATATTTTCACTGAAAATATTCTTAAAAATCTATATTTTATTATAATTTTTAATAATTTACATGCATGTTATAAATTTTTTTTTACTTAGCTAATTTTTTGGTAAAACCTTTTTCTAACTAAAAAATTTCTAAATTGATTTATTTTTTTTAAAAGCAATTCTCTCTCTTACAATTTTTAAATATTATCTTACAGTAAGAAAATTATGTAGTCTCAATTTTTTTATGAATTAATTATTTGCTAATTTGATTTTTGTTTTTTAAAAATTGCTTTAGATGCCTCACGATTTTACAAATCCTAATTGAGATGCTTTTAAATAACTAATTTTAAAAATGCGTTTCTTCTTAAAAGGATTTTTAATTTATACGATCAAGATGTGCTGGAGAATAAAAACATTTTCTTGATTTATATCCTTGTTGCATTTTGTAATATTCACTTACAGTTAGTTTTTAAAGTTCCTGATTTTAGATCAAACTAAATTTTTAATGTTCAGTGCATACAATATTATATTTTTCAAATGAATTATTTATGTATCATACTTAAGTTTTTGAGGACTATTAAGTGTTTTATACATTTATCAATCTATTTTATTTTGTGCCTCAGTATTTCATCTACGTGATCCATTATAACTTGGTGAACAATGGTAAAGTTGAGCATACATATAATAAATCCTTAAAATATTTCAAAGAAAACTTAGTTTTGTGTTTCTTGGAACCTTTTACTAGTAAAAAGAACTGCTTTTTAAATTTTAAACATAGTTAGTCAAAACGTTCGTAAAAATTGAGCCATAAAAGTACAAAACCATCTGAGAGAGAATTCTGAGTTTAGTTTTGTGGTTTTCCTAGAATTAAATATTGTTTCTAATAGTCTTTCTAAAATAAATCTGGAGATATAGTAAGCCTATTTGCAGTTGAACCCTAATATAGTGAACTGTCAGCAGATCCAGTAGTAAGTCCATTATAAATGGTAGTTCACTATATTCAAAATTCTTTTACTAATTAAATTTAAGCATATAAACAATAGTATTGTAGAAAATGGTTGTTTAAGTTTTTTTTTTTTTTAAATTGAAATAAATTATTACAGAATAAAGCCAAGAAATTATTTTATAATTTATCAAAGTGTTAAATATGTTACTTTTAGACCCGTGAATAGTATTTAAACAAAAATATTGTTAATTAATAAATTTGTTGTGCCAATAGCCTTTTCATTTTTTTCCCCAGATGCATTGTTTAAATTTTATGTGCTTTCTTTCGATTGCGTGCTTGAGGTCTAACACATTTACCTACTAAACTTCATGGCCAATATGTGTTAATTAAAAACTACATTATTAAAATTATTTTTTTAATATTCCTTTTCATTCTTTAGTGAATTTGTTTCAAGTTGGTGTTATGAATCAATGCATATTTTTGTTAATTCTAATATAATGTGTTTATTGTAGACATTCTCAAGGTACTTAACTTACAAGAGAGATAACAATGAATTGCTGCTCTACATACTGAAACAGTTGATGCAAGAACAATTTGCTTACATGCGAAGTCGTTTCACAACAGATATTGAAACAGTAGAAATTCCTGAAAAAGAACTGCAAGATAAGGTAATAAGTCTTGTTTTTTCATTTTAATTGAAGAAAATATAGCCACTAAAAATGAGTTGATTAATACTTTTATGTTGGAAGGTTTGCTAGGTAAAAAATCAATGAATTATTGTGAGTAAAGTGTGAAGGACTTTATTTTTTAGTTAGCTCACTGTTTAAGCTAGTTACCTTTAGCATTTTACTTCAAACAGATATCTCAGTGTTATTTGCACTGTCATCAATCAAATGCCAATATTGTTGAAAAATTAATTATTTACAGTAATTGACAAATTTCAGTTTAAACTATATAACAAGCATGCTATTTTTCTGTTAAATTGTGGACTGCAGCAAATATCAAGTTTGTTAATTTAGGGACTTAAAAAATCATTGCGAATCAAAATTTTTACTATAGAGTTTCGCAAATGTAAAATTACGATTTAGAAACTTTTGAAAAATCCTGTCAATGTTTATTACCTTCTTACCAGTAACTTCCTTTTCTTTTCTGTCAGAGTTTCCATTAACGCCCTATTTACAGTTTTTTAAGCAGATTTGTAAAAAAGAAATACAACTTTGATAATACATCTCAAATTCTGATATAACTGGCTTCATTTAAAATTACTCAACAGCTGTGGCAAAAACAAATGAATGAAATTGATCAAAGCTATTGTGAATATTTGAAAGATTGTTTGCTTCAAAACCTGTAACTGACATAAGACAGTATAGTGCTATCTACTTTTAAAGACGTAGCTGTGGGTTTTACTCCATACTACAGAGTTAAGCATTGAAATAAAACTGATTTGAACAAACACTTATTTAGCTTTTGAATGGAATTAAAGACTAGAACCATTTTTGTAAACCTAAACAAACTTGTGTAATAAATTATGCATATTGGAGGTCATTTATCAGAGTTTCTGCCTGCTATTCTCTGGAAGAAAAATAAATTACCACTTTTAATTATTCATGAGACTGACATTGAATCTTCCATTGTATTATTTCTTCACATTAGGTGGATCTTTTTAATGAATCTAGAATTTTTTTATCTGTAAAAGACTTAAGTAAAAGTTTATAACTTGAAAATTAAATCCTTAAAGTAACAAACTTCAATTTACAATAAAACATTTATTAAGTGGAAGCTGTATGTTTGTTCCCTCTTTTATTTAGCTGAGAAAATCAATTCCAAGTAAATATCATCGCAATACTTTACATATGAAATCACGATACTAGAACAAGGAAATTTTTAATCATATTTGAGTAATCACTTTTTGACACTGTTGTTACTACTGATTAACACACGGTCTCTGAAGTTCCAATATTTTTACGACAGACAAAATTCAATCGATTCCCTTATAATTCCACATGGAGTTTTGATCGTTTTTCCAGTAGTTATTGCTATTGGGTTTCCAATGATTTTTTTAAATAAAATTTTTTATATTTTTTTGTGTATTAATATTGTGACAAAACAATTCTATCGTTTTTTAGATTGAAATTTTGGCTGTTACTGCTAATATCCACATGGTTTTTAAAATCATATTATTTATTACAATGAATTTGAATAGATCCTTTTTAAGGTATCTGATTTGCGCGAATTAACTGTAAAAACACATAGTTTTGCCTTTAATATCTTTTTCTATAGTTATTATTGCCATTTAAAAAGGTTTTTTCTTTTTAAAACTAAACTATCACATGAAGTTTCTTGAATAACTTTCAATAAATTTCTTGCCTCAGTAATCACATGTATGATCAGATATAATGACTGTTAATAGCATTAGAACTACTAATTTGTAATGGGTGTATAATACAATGTCTGAAAGTAAATAGAATTCCAAGCTTAAAATATTATTTTAGTGCAATTAAATGAAAATGTAGTTTTCTTACTAATGAACTCTAATTTCAATAAAACTGTTACATTATTTAAAAGCTCGTTTTCATTGTTTAAATCAGTTAAATGTATGAAAATAATAAGTTTAATAAAGCATAATAAATTAATGTACTTTTTTATAACAGCACTTTTTCTTTCCACATTTAGGCTCGACAAATTAACATTCACAACTTGACACCTTTCTACAAAAGTGAATTGTTTTCCTCTCATAGCTTTGTGCATAACAAGGAGCGAAAAGCAATCATTCAAAGGATTATAAGACAAGTGTAAATTAATGTGTGTTGAATATTTTGTGTTTAACGTTTTTTGTACAATAAAATGGTTTGAATTTTTTCTTGGCTCTCATTAAATAATAATAAAAAAACCACTAGTTTGAGGCATTATAATTGTATGGTTAAAACTAAGCATTTTAAAACGTAAAATTAATTCTCCTGTTTTAAATATTTGATTGGCAAATGGAAAATTTGTACCCTGATTATATTTTTCAATACATATGTATACATATATTTTTGTCAATACAATGTAAAAAAAAAAATTAATAAAAATCTGAACTTATATAAAAACATTCGAAATAAGTGAGAAAGCACTGTTCTGTAAATTTCCACCACTAAGTGTACCAAATTAATTTATTAGTTTTTCAACATTTCTGGTTCTTTTTTTTTTAATAATGTTATTTTCATGTATGTTTATGACTACTGTTAATTTGTTTTTAGATATCTGTTAAAAAATCATTACTATACAACCCTCAATAAGCTAGTGGTTAAAGCTTGGAGCAAATATAATTGAATCACTGTACAGAAAAGGTTTCAGTCATGCTTATTACTTTTATACCCTTTTTAAAAAATTTCTGCTTTTCCTCACAGTACGAAAACTTCTAGAGTTCAACCTTTTATGAGGACTACAACAATACTCAATAATACTTTAGGTAAAGAAATCTAGTGACAGAAAAAAGGCAACAGTTAATTTTAACGAAAGTTACTAAGCTTTTTTTAAATTTAAAAAAAAAAGAAAAAAAAAAGGTTTTGTTAATTTTAAATTAATTCTAACTTTGGAACTAGATGAAGTACTTTAACAACTATATTCATGAGGGAGTACAGGTGTACAAAATTTGAAAATTTACTTAGTATGCAGATTTTCTTCTTATGGATAATGCTGAGATATCCACCATGTTGGTATTTTCATATGCTTTTGTAATATATTAAAATAACAGGGTGGCCACCCACCTGGAATTATCAGGGAATTTTTTTATACTGGAAAAAACCTGGAAATTTGGATAAAAACCTGGAAAAATCAGGGAATTTTAAAGAAAAGCTGGAAATTTTTCTTTGATAATTTTTTTAATTTCACAAATTTAAATTATTTGCTAATTTTCTTAATTTAAATTATTTCATCCATTATACCCACTTTTTTTTAACGGAAATGTATCGCCAAACAGTTGAAATATCATCAACTTAGCAATACTTTGCTTGCATCAAAATTTGCTCCATTATAGTTCTGTTAAACTAGAATGCCATATAAAATTCTTCCACGGTTGCTAAACAAATGTGGAAACTTTTGACCGCTATGGGAATTTAGGAAAATTTAGGTAAGATTCTGGTGGAAAAAGGGATTAGGATATTAGCTTCTGTTTTTAAATTCTGTCCTTGGGCTAAATCCATTTATGGCTCAAGTTTGTTCCGATGCTTTGGTGGTTATTTTTTTTCTCTATTTTGACAAAATGTTTTTGTATTTTTAACTTTATAAAATTCTCCAAAAATTAGTTGGTTATAATTTTATGATAATAGATTTTATATCGCACTCTTTTTCTGAAAGCTTTTCTACTCCTATTCAAAGAAATCTGTGAATTATTTTTTCTGAGCAAACCAACCAATCACACATTTTTTTACAATCACTAACAGCAATGTTTGTCGACAAATTTTTACAATTGTTGCATTAATGCTAATTTTTTCTATTTCATTTTAACCTCTTATAACATATTTTAATTTTAAACAAAAAAGGCTCCTTTGTTGGTCAATATATGATTTTTGATTCAAAATTTTGTGCCAAAACATTAAAAAATAAATAAAAAATCTTGAAAATTGTCAAAATAAATTATTTTTTTCAAGATGATATGTTAAAAAAATAACATTTTGAATAAAATATTTTATAATATAGACACTTTTCTTGTACACATCCTATACTTTATAAGAAAAAAGAAACAAAAACCTGGAAAAATCAGGGAAATCTGATTCGAGTGGCCACCCTGAATAATAACCCGTGATCAACAGCCATAATAGTTACAAAGTATTCCTGTACGATGCGACCGCCAGCTATAAATTTTTCGCCAAAAAGGTAACCCCTTACCAGTTTATATTTGAACATGGTATAAACAGTAATTACCTGCTTGCTGAATATTGCGACTGGCTTTTTTAAACAGTCGTTTTGTGTTGAATGATACAATACGGTAGGCCCCTTGTCAATACTATTAACATGATTTTTTTTTTCTTGCACTGATAGGAAAAGCTATAAATATGTGTTCACTTAACTTTCTCAATAGTTGTTGCATTTCAATTATAATAGTTTTTGAGGGTATTGTTTGCCTCAATAATGCTTTATTGAGGCAAACCCATCACTGAAAAGTTCTATGACAAATTATAGTTAAAAGAAACAGTGCAAAAATAAATTACACAATAGTTAAGTTCAAAACAGTTTTAATTACATAAACATGAAGTTATAAGTAGACTAGAAAATTAGTTTCATTTATGACTATTCAATAGGGTGGTCCTTATTCTTCAAATTTTGTTATTAGGCATAAACAAATAGTATTTATCGGTAACTCATTGCTATTTTGTTTTAAGAAATCTATATAAAAAAAAAATTGTACATGTATTCAAGAAAGAGACATAACTATATTGTTCCTTTGAAAATTTTTAAACTAAAAATAGTAATTAGCTACATTTTGCTAGCAATCAGAGCTTTTAACCTTGGTTAAAAGGTGAGGGTAACTTTTCGTCACTTCTTTTGGCAGTTGTATACAGTATAAATAGTAATTAAAATTGCTAGGTCTTTGCAAATCATATCATTCAAATCGTTAAGAATAATGTTGCAATTGCATCTTGTTTAGCACTGTTTACTTAATTGCACAGACATATTTTCTACTTCAAATATCTATTGTCTCTGAACTTCTACTTTTTTAATACAAAAAAAAAAAAGAGTTTAATAAATTGATTTTTGTTTGGAACAGAGAATTTTGGGTTATTCAAGAACAATATATATCTAATTCTGTTTCAATTTTAATTAATTAACAGATGTCGGAACGATGAAGCAATCTTTTCGAACTTATTGGGCATTTAGTAGGATTAGAGCCACCCTGCTTTTATGAATTGTATCACCATTTGTAGACTAAATAAATGGTTGTAAGGTTCAACAATAATTCATTAAAAATATGTCATAACAGTAGAAAATACTATTATACTGTATATCATTAAGGATAACAACTTCATAGAGTATGCGTGAAAATGTCAGTTTTAACCCATTCTGATGATTGTTTGAAAAGATAATGAACTTGCTTCAGCAAACTAATGAATTAGCAATGAAAATGACTTCATTGTTACACAGCTTATTCATTTGTACCTTTTTATTACTCATTTTTTTTCTTCCTTTTTGAATCATGTTAATATTAGCAATGGAATAGAGTTTATAAAAAATGATTAAGAACTTTGGACTTAGATAATTGATTAATTCTACTTTACTTTCATAACTGTTCAAAATAGTTATGTTTTATACTTAATAACTGAACCAAATATTTGTTTAAAAGCATTAAAAAAAAAAAGTTAACATTCTGCATAAGTTCTAGCCACGTAAGATCCAAGTTTTCAGACTGCGTCAGCCTTATCTCTACCATATAAATTTGCCTTAGTACAAATTAATATTTAGTATCTGAAATGCATTTAAATATTAATACGAAACACAAACTGTCTAGCTCTTATATAGCACAACATTTCATTTTCCGTCATAGTATACAAAATGCATCGATTAAACTGAAATATGTAGTTAAAATATTATTCTTGAGCTACCTTTAAACACTGTCATAGAATGAAGTTATTCTATGAAAAAGAGAGAAATATTAGGATGAAACTGAAGCAAATAACAATTTGCATACATTTTTTCAATTCTATTTTAAGAACCACCCTACTTACTATTAGCTAAGTGTTAACAAGTTAACACAAATTATTTTTAATCCAACAATTTTAAGTAAAATATTATTCTGTTATAATTCATATGTTAACTAATTCATTTTTATCAACAAATGATGTTTATCATAGAAGAATATTCAACACTATTTTACAATTGCATCAAAAATTAACCAAATTAAAAAAAAAAAAAAAAAACTGTTAAAGATTAACAAGCAAACATGATCAGTTGTGTATGAAATTCCATAATCAAAATAGGTGTTGATGTTTTAAAATATTTTTCTTCTTGCAAATTATTACATAATTCAGGGCTGGCCAACTCAGAGTGGGCTAATGCTATCTTTGAGCATACTATATCAGATCTTTGAGATAACTACTATTCTTTACTCTGCCACCATCAACTCATTTAAATGGCAGTACAGTACAAGAACCATTTAAAAATAAATAAACTGCATTACTCAACCTTCTGAAGTCATTAATGAATTTTTTCACTCAAATTTACTCTAAGTCTAATCAATTTTAAACGAATAATAAAAACTTAATTTTTCAACCAACAAAAATTTTTAAGAATGTGAGATAGTCCTGAATATATTTTAATAAATTAGTAGAGAGAAAGAGTTTATATATATAGACCAGTCGCTAAATAACCGACCCAATTCTGAATTTAGAACTATCAATGTTTAACTTTGAAGCCTTGCAATCTTGAACCAAACACAGATGACAAAAAAACTGGATTAAGTATTAGGGCAAACTAGCCTCTGCTTAGGACTTTTTGATGGAACTAACCTGTGTTTCGTGGAGAGGAAAAATACGAAAACCTTCCACGCTTAGCTCGAAGACAAGGGGATTCTGCCACTGAGTATATTTTATGTAGCATTGTGAGCTAGGAGCAGAATTCATATCAATCAGCTACTGCTGGGATTTAGACCTGAGTCACCTCAATGGGGTATAACACTCTTTCCCCCGAGCCATATGGTTCAGACTAGGAGTTTAAAATTAAGGGTGTAAAATATTACTCTGCATTAAAGCTTAAGAAAAGCAGGACATATTTTTTGGCATACATGGAAAAGGTCCAAAATGTATTATGAAATGCAGATGTAACAAAATAGTTTGAAAGAAGATTTTTTTTCTTTCTCACCTCTTGAATAAAGTTAATAAGC